TTTTTGAGACAGAGTCTTGCTCTGTTGCCCAGGTTGGAGTGCTGTGGTGCAACCTCAATTCACTGCAAACTCCATCTCCCAAGTGACTCTCCTGCCTCAGCCTCCCAAGTAGCTGAGATTACAAGCACACACCACCACACCTGGCTATTTTTTGTTATTTTTAGTGGAAATGGGATTTCACCATGTTGGCCAGACTGGTCTCCAACTCCTGACCTGAGGTAATCCACCTGCCCTGGCCTCCCAAAGTGCTGGGATTACAGGCATAAGCCACCGCGCTCAGCCACTCAGAATAATTTCTACTGCAAGTTAGGATGGCACTTCCACCTTTCTATGTGAATGTTTATATTTCTTGGTAACTTTTGAAGTGCCAAGCCATGGTGGGCAGTGTCTGTCCATGCAGGTGTGCCTGAGACATCACCCTGCAGCCTCCTGGCTCTCAGCTTACACAGGCTGCCTTGTTTCTGTCTGTGTAGTTTTTGGTCTCTCAGGACCATGCTAAAGGCTCAGAGAATGTTCAGCTACTCTCGTGCCCACAAAGAACCAAGGCATTGTGTGAAGCATTCTCCCCACTGCTGTTTTTTTTTGAGACAGGAACTGGCTCTACCTCTCAAGCTGGAGTGCAGTGGTGTATCGTGGCTCACTGCAGCGTCCACCTCCTGTATTCTAGCAATCCTCTTATCTCAGCCTCCTGAGTAGCTGGGAGAGGTGTGTGCCACCTTGTCTGGCTTACTTTTGTATTTTTTTTTTATAGAGATGGGGTTTTGTCATGTTGCCCAGTCTGGTCTCCAATTCCTGGGCTCAAGCAATCCTCCTGCCTCGGCCTCCCAAAGTTCTGGGATTACAGATGTGAGCCACTGTGCCAGGTCCCATCTGCTCTGATGTTTCTCAAGTGTCCCTCTGGGGTCTCATCAGTTTTCACCCAAGAAGTGGAGTTCAGAGCTTCTCCATCTGAGATTTCCCAAACTCTCTCTCTCTCTTTTTCCCATTACTTCCTCTCTGCCTTTCTCTTTTCCCCCTACCTCAGGGGCATCTGAAAGTGACAAGTCCTATTTTTGGCCTTTATCTTTCTCCATTAAGGACTTAAGCTATTGGAGGCTGGGCACAGTGGCTCACACCTGTTATCCCATCACTTTGGGAGGCTAAGGCGGGCAGATCACCTGAGGTCGGGAGTTTGAGACCAGCCTGACCAGCATGGAGAAACCCCGTCTCTATTAAAAAAAAAAATACAAAATGAGCCAGGTGTGGTGGGGCCTGTAATCCCACCTACTCAGGAGGCTGAGGCAGGAGAATTGCTTGAACCTGGGAGGCGGAGGTTACGGTGAGGTGAGATCACGCCATTGTTCTCTGGCTTGAGCAACAAGAGCAAAACTCTGTCTCAAAAAAAAAAAAAAAACAACAAAAAAAAACTATTAGGTTGCAAAAGCCCAAAACTCATGGATTTTCCCTGCTTTTCACCCTCTCCCTCTTCTCTCCTGAATGTGAGACAAAGACAGGTTTTAGATTAACAGTAGGGAAGGAAAAAGAAAATAAAATATCAGGCTGGACGTGGTGGCTCACACCTGTAATCTCAGCACTTTGGGAGGCCAAAGTGGGAGGGTCATTTGAGCCCAGAAGTTTGAAACCCATCTGGGCAACATAGCAAGACTCTGTCTCTACAAATAGTAATAGTAATAATAATAATAATAGTAAAAGTTTTTTAAAATCAGGAAATTAAATAAAATGTAAATCCATGTCTCAAAAAATATGATCCTGCCATATTTACAATAAAGTGTCCCGTGGTTAGCACTATTTGGCATTCCTCACTTCCCTTTCTGTTGCTGTTGCCACTAGAGAGTCTAGAAAAGCTAAACTTCCCCTTTCCCAGCCTCTCTTGAAGCTTAGCAAGGTGGTATTTCCCGGTCAATAAGACAGGAGCAGAAGGCTGTTCAAGGTTTACAGGAAAGCTTGGATTTTAGTCGACAAAAAATTGGAGAGGGGACAGATGTGGCTGGCATCATTTCTTTCCTTCTGCTTCCTACTTGAATGTGAACACTACTGGGTATGGTGACTCACGCCTGTAATCCCAGAACTTTGGGAGGCTGAGGTGGGCAGGTCACCTGATGTCAGGAGTTCGAGACCAGCCTGGCTAACATGGTGAAACCCTGTTTCTACTAAAAATAAAAAAGTTAGCTGGGTGTGGTAGTGCACAGCTGTAATCCCAACTACTTGGGAGGCTGAGCCAGGAGAATCACTTGAACCCAGGAGGTGGAGGTTGCGGTGAGCTGAGATTCCACCATTGCACTCCAGCTTGGGCAACAACAGCAAAACTTAGTCTCACAAAAGAAAAAAAAAAAGTGAGCACAATGCCTGGAACTGCAGCAGTCATTTTGCTACCATGAGGACAAGGCTAAGAGAATCATACAGATGCCATGGCACCATAAGCAGCTGTGTCTATATAGTATCATTTATTTACTATTAAGAGAGAAAAATCTCTGCTTTTAAATAAAAAGAATCCCAGGTCATGGTAGGAGCCCCTGGATCAGGCTATGCCCAAAAGCCACCTACATCTAGACTTCTGGACTTTTGTTATTTGCTGCTGAATGCATTCCTTTTCTTTTTTTGAGATGGAGTCTTGCTCTGTCACCCAGGCTGGAGTGCAGTGGCATGAGCTCGGCTC